ATCATCGAACCGCCTCTGTAATCGGATTGTATATCTTTCATGTGTTAGCAAACCGCAACCACTGACCGAGATAAATATGAACAAATACCCTTCTCCAAATTAAAACAACCAAAATATATTATTACTTATTTAAATAATTACGAAATAATCTTTTTTTTTCTCAAGTTTAATGTTACTTAGGTAGTTATTTTACATGCGGATTGCTTTGTGCTAAAACTTGTTTACTATTATCGCCTTATTTGTAGTTCCTATAGAAAATTATATACAGTATGTATTCAGCCCTTTTTTAAACATCCCACTGCTGGGCACGGGCCTCCCTTCAATACGAGGGAGATCAAGCCATAGTCCACCACGCTGGCCAAGTGCCGGTTGGCGAAACTCATATGTCTTTCGAAAACTTGCTAGGTTCTCTCAGATATGCAGGTTTCCTCACGATGTTTTCCTTCACCTTAATACAAGTGGTAGCCATGTTAGAAATGATTTGCACATGAAAATATCAGAGATGCGAGACCCGGGATTTGAACCAGCTTTAAGGTTTCCCAAGCGAGTGCGTTTCCACTGGGCTACTAGTGCCTTACGGAACTCAACCACTACTCATAATTAATAATACGTTACTTATATTATTTACTTAACAATAGAGAAATCCTTCATATTAAAATATTAAATAATTAAATTAATATGAAATAAAAGCGCGTTTTTATTATTTCCTGAGTATTACAATTAAGTAATTTATCAAATTCTTTTTATATATTTACAATTAACACGTTGTATAATTCGTTATGAAATCTTATATACCTAGCTGATTTTTAGATACTAAAATTGTGTAATTAAATTAATAATTTAACACATACAAGTAGTTAAAAAAAATATATTTTAAAATATTTCAATTTGTGACAAATTGCGTAATTTATTCTATCAAATTAACACTGACCGGAATGTAAGTTTAACTAAAAAGGTCCTAAAAATATTTACAATGAAAGGATTAAGATCACGCAATTTATGAACATTTGGAATTATGTATTTAATATATTAAACAATTTTATTTGAATACATAAAATTTCAAATTAAAATCATAAATCTTATTATTTTATTATAACTTAATTGTATGCTTGTCTAGAGAAACTAAAATATGAGGGTCACAATTTATGTAAGAATCGCCAATTTGAGCCTTGTAAGTACGTAACATTTCTTATGAAATAGTTGATGATTTTCGTTTGATGCAATATGTTCTTAATACTGATATAATTATAGTTCAGCCGTATAAAAACACGAAAAAAATACTTTCTGTGCTGTTGCCCGTTAGCTTAGTTCTTCGCCTTCCCCCCCAACGTGCGTTCACCTTGTCGTGGTGGGGGGGCTCAGTAGTGCCCGGCAACCCAACCGGGCGCGAAGCCAAGAAACGCACAGGGAGGTGGCCCACTTCGGTGGGCGGTGGGAGGTGGCCCTCTTCGGAGGGCGGTGTACCATGCGGGTTGCTCCTGGTACTTCTCTGATAGCAGAGTGGACCTTGGAGCAACCCCGTGGTTGTTGTGGTCTGCTTTGGCAGACCTGCCGTCGGGGCGTCGTAGTTGAATGCGTAAGCGATCCTGCGACGCCCCATTAAGACGGTGGAAGGCTTTGTTGGGTTTTAGTGGGTAGTACTGGCTTTGCCGGTGAGTCCCACACCTCGTGCGTAAATGCATTTCCCAACGTTAAAAAAAAAAGTTCTTCGCCTTATAGCGATTTAAACTCATAAAAAGATCGAATGTCACGCGGAAACTTTGTCTAAGCTTTCAATTAGTGAAAGTCTTTTCAAAATATTTATCAGATGTTTTATTAGGTACTAGCAGAATCCGCAGCTTCGCTTGCGTTGAACCTAAAAAAAAAACAAATTCTTTGGCTTTATGTTATAAGTAATTAATACAGAAACACCCCCGCTCCCAGCACGCCCTGAGCCACCCTGTGCGCCATGCGCCCGTCTACCATTACGTAGTAGGACTTTCGAAGCCCTATTTGACTCTGTTTTGCAACAACTGTGATCACGTGTCTCAAATTTTTAATTGAAGAGTATGTGTACCAATTTTTACAATCAACCCCGAGGATAAAATTTTTCACATAAAATTCAACCTCCCATTTCACAATCTTAGGGGCTATCGGTTTAGTCTGTGTGTTGATATATCAGTGAATCAGGACTTTGAATTTTATATATGTAAATGTACATATATTAAATATATAATATATTGACAAATTATCAGCGTTTATTTAAGTATAAGTATCAGAAATGAGTGACTTTTATGTAATACTTTAGTTGACTTTTAATCAGAATATACTAATAAAGAGGGAAATTGTCAGTGACAATATATCAAAAAATATTAGAATTTGCTATATTTGTATAAATCGGCTTACACTGAAAGAAATTTGGTTTAAAAGAAAAAGCAACAAATCTCAAAAGGTAAACTGTCACTTTCTATATCTTGTCAAATAATTAGATATTTGGGTTTCTGTCGGAGAGATCTGTAATATCGTATCATGCACAGTTATTAGACTGAATAATGTAGAAATCATTTTACGTAACGAGCCTTACCCATTGCGTACGTTAATCGTATATAATATAATCATTATAACGAAAGATATAAATTACAAATAAGACGTTTGAGTAAAAGATTTGGAGGAAAATTATCGTTTTCCCACTTGCTTAACGGATGATAACGAAAATATTTGTATTAAATATATTACTTACACAAACAAATGTATCGCACATGGGTTTATTAATTTGGTAATCTTACAGCGTTATAAGTAAAATAGTAATACAGTTTGAGCACAAAGTTATTAGTAAGTAAGCTGTAAGGCCAAAATTAGATCTACTCTACCTACTTTATTGTGATAACTTACAGAATGGACAACAGAGTACATTGAAAAAAAAGAGAAGCTAATGATATCAAAATGCGTGTGTGTGTGCGTCTGTATATGCGTGTGTCTCTTAAAGAAAATAGAACTAAAAAGAACTAACTTAAATTCGTCTGAAGTATCAGTTTCAACATTTACTGCTAATCGTAGAAATTTCACATCCTTTGTATAGAATAAATTATAAATGTCCTTTCTATCTATGGCAGGGAAAACCACAGGCAGGTGGATTATTTAAGATGAAAACACAATAAATGATAAATTGTTTTGCTTATTATTTATACTAATATTAAAAAGAGGTAAAGTTTGTGAGATTGTGAGTTTGTGACGTTATAGGGGTAATCTCTGGATATACTGAACCGATTTAAATGAAACTTGGTAAGTAGATAGTTTGGGATCCTGGAAAAGACATATGATAATTTGTATCCCGGAAATCACCCCTTGAGGTGTTGAACATGGGGATGAATGTTTGTACTTGGAATCGAGCCATTACATAAAATATTATAGGTCTAAATTTACTTATAAAAGGTTTTTTATCATAATTTATTCATGTAGTAAATCTACAACGTAACGTAACATTTGTGTGTAATATATAATAAAAAGTATGCACGTAAGTAAAAAAAATGTTTTAATCATAATAATATATAAAGAAATATGAAAGAAAATGGTAAATGTCCGTTTAGTAAAAATAAAACACTAAGTATTAGATGTAAGGTGAAATTATGTATGTGTAAAAAAATGTTTTATTTACTAGTTTCGTTATAGTAATTAATTCTATATTCCTATGTAGTTCCAATAATAAAACAAATGTTACAAAGCAATGCTACGTTAACCATCTTGCCTTATATCAATTTTCAAATTTCAAAGCCAGGAATTCAAGACCGATTTTTCGTTAATTATTAGTCCAATTTCTACAAATTTAGTACTATTAAATAATATCATATTTCTCTGGTACGCGATTCGGTAAAACAATAAAGAAAACTTATAATTTATTTTATCAAACGTAGCCATGACCATTCTCAACCAACTGCGGTGAAACCCAAAAGAAGTCATGTATTTGACCTGCATTTATGTCGGATCGTATGTTTTATGGTAACTACTAAACAGCTTAACTGAGCTTAATAATTTATACGTTGTTAGGCCTTGATCGATTCAGATTCAAGATTTTTTAATTTAAGGTCAATTGTCCTGATATTGTGAGAAAAAGGGTTAATGTGTGTATTCTCTTTCTCTCTACTTCGCAGTCAAATTAGAATGATGATAAAATAAAAGCATGTTACTTTTAGAATATTCAAATAAAAACATCGCCGTAAGCTCTAAAATAAAAAGAAGATCTTATTAAATTCACTTAATAAATAAATAAATAAATTAAAACAAAAATATAAATGACACATTCAGTTTATTACGCACAGCATACCTATAAGCATTTTAAAAATTATAAGTCGCATAGCGATTATATTACATGAAAATTACGTAATTCAAAGGGATGTATGTAATTTTTTTGTAAAAATTGTTGTTGGATAGGTACTTACATAATCAGGTTACACATGTTGGTTATCTTATAGTACTCTATAGATTAAAATACACTAACATATTTCAGCATACAGGATATTTATTACTCGGTAAATATAGTTGACATTGATTTAATACGTCTGTATATACATACGTGTATTGACAAAAACAATATTGGAAAATATTAAAAACTTAACAATAAATACCAATGGTTAAAATCCAAACCATATCAAACTGTTAATCACATTGAAATTTTCACATAAGATCTATAACACATAGCTGTTTGGTTACACTTTGATGATAGTAATACACATAAACCTACACCGTACACTTAGAATTACTCTTCGATTTACCCCACCTGAGTATTCCGAGTATTCCCCACCAATTTCAAGAGCCGCCTTTCTACATTAAAACGCTCAATGTATATCACCTTTCTATTATGGTCGGTTAAAATGGGCTAGTAAGGAACCTGGGGGAAGGATTATGCAATTCTTGGACACAAGAATGGCGTATATAAGCTTGAGGAAGGATTGGAATAAGTAGAAAGCCAGCAAGACTCAGCAGGCAAAGTAATTTACTGAATCAGTCCAGCAAATTAAAGCAAGATGTACGCGAAACTCGCCGTAAGTAAAATAGTGTATAAAAAATGTGCATAGTCATGTATTTAATTAATTCAATATTTTTTTAATCGATATTAACATTTTTTAATGATTTAAGCTTCTCGCTCTTGTGGTTGTCGCTGTCGTGGCCGTGCCTACTCCTGGAGGCGGAGGAGGACAGTAAGTGTTCAATGTTTTATTGTTACATTAAAATATTTTACGATATATTAATTACTATTCTATAAGATCATTGAAATGTTCCACAAAGATTCAGATTAAGTTCAAGTTCACAAATATAGTAGACAAATAAAACTACGCCGATTCACAGTTGTTCTATTCTTCTCATTGCAGAATTACGTGGTTAACACTTCTCTTTTTGACCGTTCCATTCATAGGTTGCTATATTTTTTTATTTCACATCATGTTTGAAATAAATGTTGAATGTCTTTAAATTGATTGAATCTTACTACTCTATAAATGCGAAACTTTCGCGGATGGATGGATGTTTGTTATTCAATGAGGCTAGAACAGCTGAACGGATCTGGACGGAATTTGGCACAGTGATAGATTATAGTCTAGAATAGTACATAGGTTTTTTTTGTATCCCATAAAAATGTACGGTTCCCGTAGGATAGATTTGTTTTTGCTTTTCTCTAGGGACGAACCCGAGCGAAGCGAAGGTGAACCGCTAGTATTCTAATATAATAATAATTTAAAAGAAAAATCTCGTTTAGATACATTGTCTATAAGTGTATTTTCTCACAATTATTTTGTGACAATAATATTTAATTTAAATATTACTGAATAAATATCTTGATTCCCTTACGTGACTGGATACTAAAAATAAAAGAAAGTATGTGAAATTCCAAGAACGTTCTCGTGAAAACTTTAAATAAAAGCAAGACACGTAATCAAAAGACGATTAGTTTTTTAATAGGGCTAATATTATATTTAAGCGTTGCCTTACAATTTGTAAATTCAAATTTAACACGCAATTGTTGTTAAGATATGTACTTGTTATACCAAAACCGTCAATTTGTGTTTATAGTTAGTTATATAGAGTTGGTGAAATAACCAAGTAATTGCCGTGAACCGCATCCATTAGCCATCCTTCTGACTAAATGAAATATGTAATAATGTCCGACCCGGTTGAATTTATTTTTTTTCAGTTTAAAACGATGAAAAATAGCAAAAACATTTGATAATCCAGTTTTAATTTCAGTAATTGATCCTATTTATTTCATTTGGGTATTATGAGATTTTTCTGGTCTGTTAAAAAAACCAACTTGGTTATAAACATTACGTTATAACCCACGTCGTTACATCGCGACAGTCTAGAACATGTTACATGTTCGCCGCATTCTTAACTATTTCTCGGTGAATTAATGATCATCTCCTGGTTTAAATTGCTCGTCTAATAATAATAAATCAACATTTAGAAAATAATAGTTTCTATCCGCATTCAATATGTAGCTTTTACCTGAACTTACGGAGTTTGATGGCGATAGTATTGTAGAAAAATGTCATATAACTTATTTTACTAGACATAAAATTATGAAACTTAAAAGTTTATGGCGCTAAGTATTGTTTCAAAAATGACGTTAATCTGATATTATGTATATGTATGGGTACTTTTAGTGAAAGGCCGCGCTTTCAATGGAATTATTTATTAATACATCTCAGCTCCTTCCCGTCATTACGTAATAGATACGCGCTTAAATGTTAGTAGTGTATATTTGAATATAATGTATGATATTACGGAGTTTAAAAAAAAACTATTTTGTCCTGCTAATTCAAATCTTTAATCTATTAAGAGTTGGTAAAAGGTCTCCCGGTGCACTGCAAGAATACTCAAAATATAAATATTTTTAATAAGTTGTTTAAATAGTGTTATATATTTATTCTTATAAATAATGTGCCTTATATTATGTACATAGATAATAATGTAAAGACTTCTATTTTGTACGATATTATTTTAATGATTGTAATTAACAATTTGCGAGAATAATGACTGTTTTAACGAAAATAGTTCTGTAGGTTCTTTGATTTATTTAAAACTAGCGGCTCACCCTCACTTCGCTCGGATTCGTCGCTAGGTACGTTTTAAATAGATATAAATAGTGATTAGCCAGCGTTAGCCATATAATAATTTTTTTCGTTAATTTTTCATATTTTTTTATTAAAACCTTCCATGGACCTTAAGGAACATACGAAAAAAAATGTAGCCGAATTGGTCCAGCCATTCTTGAGTTATGCGCTTACCAACATTTATTTTTATAGAATTAGTATTACTGAGATGCTTACAAAGTTGCGTCTCAGTCCAGTGCGCGTACTCATTTCAAATATCAAGTAGGTTAACTTAATCATGACATAATGATACACAATCTGCGGTACACTTTCGCAGTAATGGTCACAAGAACATGTACACATATATATCCATCCATAGTTACATGAGAGGAAAAAAACGGTTACATTTAAATTGCATAAGAGATTTTAATTACAGCTTTCGAATAGTACATAAACAAATTAGAATGATTGAAAGACACTGGTCGATAGAAAATTTTATTACCTTAATAGAAATGTCAAAGTTAAAATTTTGTTCTAATACTTTATTTACAAAGTAAATACATAGAATATTTTTTGTCTGGGGTTAGATCTTTTGAAGTCATATCTCTAAATATATGGTATTATGTATCATTTGTAAGCGAAGCGATTATGAGAGCGTAAAAATTTTGTCACGTAAGCTGTTTTGATTCGTGTAACGTAATGTAGAGCGAATATTCTACTGGTTCTTTTATATACTTTACAAGCATTATTGGTGCTTGTTATTAATGCAGATTTTGATAGTTATGGCTTAGCTAGTATTTTTTTATTTTTATGACAGAAAATATGACAAGAAAAAACAGCGATAATTACATAGTTTCACATGCACTGTTGATCTTCATGATACAACATCTATAATTAAATGTGTAAGTTTGGTAGTAGGTAAATATAAGTATAAAATCGTCTTGATTATTGATTGATTTTGATATTGTACCAATATTAATATAATTGAGTATAATGAACTAATTAAAAAAAATTGTTTCAGTAAACATGTGACCATCCACGTTCCGTACAAAGTGCACACTATTCACCACCACCACGTGTCTAAAGTACCCTACCCTGTACATGTACCTGTTGTGAAAGAGGTGCCCGTGTACAAAGAAGTTCCGGTGATCAAACACGTGCCAGTCCCCATAGTCCAGCACATACCATTCCCGGTTATAAAGAAAGTGGAGGTGGAGAAGCAGGTGTTTATACCAGTGCACCACCACGAAGAGGAACATCACCATGGATGGGAGAGCGAGTCGCTATCGCATGGCTGGAACTGATTTAAAACCCATATAATATATAGTTTTAGGTAAGCAGGACATTTATATTAATATATTATAATACTAGCGACTCACCCTCGCTTCGCTTAGGTTCGTCCCTACGTACGTTTTAACGGTTAGTATAGATTTCTCAGAGATGAGATGTTTTCCCGCATTAAAAAGTATCCTATATGTTGACCATCTAACCAGAAAATCTATCCAGTGGTTTCTGATGCGTTCCCAGACAGATAGACAAAAATTCTAAAAACTACAGATTCGGCCTCTGTATTGATAAAATTATGATTATGTCAATAATCTATACGACTCAGAATTTTATTATATGTATAGATAACTAGCAGAACCCGCGATTTCGCTCGCGCTAAAACTACAAAAAAACTCTTATAAGGTAGGATTCATAATAACTGTCATCCCCCTTTTTACCCCCATTATGAGATCAATTTATAAAAATGCTAAAACACGTATTTATTTAATTGTATTGAAGAGCAATAATACCAAGTTTCATGTAATTCTGACTATAAATATTTTTTGGGTTGTATTATAATGTGTTTTCCCATGGGAATGAGATGCCCTCCAACACTCTCCACACAAAAAATCACGCCAATCCGTCACTCTATTTTGAAGTGGAAGAAGGACAAACAAAGAAACACACACCACAATTTCACATTTATAATATTAGTATGGAATATAAACCTAAGCGAATTTCCAAAGCATTTCGATGTTGTGAAGAAAGAAAGATTAATTTTAATTGTTTTTTTGCAGGTACATTTTAAGTAGTTAATGCATTGCAAGAAATAGTAATAATTCCAGTTACTTTAAACATATGTGATGCGGCATTTGTTGTTCGACCGATTTCGCTTAAACAAACTACAAATTAACTAGTCATAGAAGCTGAAGTAAAAAAAAAATCGAAGAGTTACCGTTATATTTACTTGTAATATGTTTTTACAATTAACCTTAAAGAGATGAATATAATTTCCATGAAACATGAAAGCAGATGCCAAAAGGATCCATTAAGAAAATAGTACGAAAATTTTCGAAATTAAATTCAAAAATATTGAAAAAGTTACAACCATAATATTATGTATAAGCCAAAGAAAAATAAATGCGAATGTTTTATATCTATCTATTGGTTTTATTTGCACATATCAAAATGGAAGCGATTGTAATAGTTTATTACTGACACCTCAAAATTATTTTAATTTTAATAAATGAAAAGAATTAATTTTTGCAAGGCGTATGTTACGAAGTAATAATGTGGTATTTTTTACTATAATGTACGTGAACTTAAATTTACTTTATTTCAAATGAGTCTAAATTAAATCTGTTTAACGATACAGGCTTGCATATTTTGCAAATAAAGAGTTACCATGTACTGAAGGTATGAATTTATATTATCAGGATTAAAAATATTGGGACTGGATTTTTATTGTTTTTAAATTAAATAAATATTTCATGATTTAAACATATATTTCTTCTTTAGTGAAATATGGTTTAAGTGGCTTTGAGATATAATTAAAGTTGTGCATAATAATAATAATTAATCAATGTAGTGTTCTTCTAATGGTTGAAATTTGAAAATTTGAGAAAAAGATATGTGAACAGAATTTACCTGTTCAACTAAATAATACTAACTACTGACTGTCTAACCTAATAATAAAACATCCATTTTTTAGGTGCTACATAAAAAAGAAAAACGGTTGACAAACAAAGACTTTTGAAAATTCATGTATAGATGTTTTAAGTAACAAAGTGTCCAGTTAATAAAAAAATATATTTTAGAAATCAATTTCACATTCGTCGCAACAAACTTAAATATTTATAAAAACATTTAGTTTACATACAACCATTAATATATGTACAAAGATATGTATATCAATGCATACAACACGTTAAATTAGAATTGTTTTATATAATATCTTTATTGGTTCGTCAAAATACATTGGAGTTCATATTAATGTATATAGATTATTCACCTTATAAAATAACACACGAGTTCGTACGTCGTAAACGTGACAATGTTGACCATTTGAGCTTTGTAAATTGTGACAGTTATGCCTCGATACAAACCCCAAAATCCTTCAACTTTTACTGTCTGGGTGATGCACTGTACAAGTTTAGTACACTTCACTAAATTTCTAGAAGTAGATGGCGTGTAAAATTTGTCGTCAGATTTATGACTCTGTAATAAAATATTATATTTTTTTTATTTAGTCTAGTCATTTGATGTTTAACTGTCTATATTGAAAGTTATTCAGGAGTTTTGAAATATAGTAACTATACTAGCGGCTCACTCTCGCTTTGCTCGGGTTCGTCCCTAGGTACCTACGTTTTAACGGTTAGTATAGAATAGATAGACTACATACTATATTATTGTTCCGCTCCCTTGGGTAGTTGCATGATGATATATAGCTTATAGCCTTCCTCAATAAACAGGCTGTCTAATGCTAAAAGAATTTTTCAATTCGGATTAGTAGTTCCTGAGATTAACGCGTTCAAACAAACAAACAAACTCTACCTCTTTATAATATTAGTATAGATTAGACATATCTTATTTTCCTTTTATGTACTGTTGTATTAAAAAACAAGGAGTGTTTTATTGCCAACTATCTTTTGTCCGCGGCTTCGTTTGCCTTCTTTATGCATTTTTATGCAAATAGATAGAATAATAGATTTTTTCAAATTTAATACAACTGGCACTTCTACAAATAAGCGAGTATAAAACGAACAATAATACATTTTGTTTTATATATCTACGAGTATGATACTACGATATAATTCAAACTCATATGGCGTAGAATTTCTAGTTATACGAAACAAAGATAAAATCTATAAACAATATATCCAACGTTGGAATTATATGGAAAGTATGACATTAAGGCGGCCATAAATTATATGTAGATATGTATATATATCGTTGTTTGCTTGACTTGCTTTAAACATGTGTATGTACATATAACATTTTATCTATACCTATAATAAAATTGTAACTAAGCCGAATCTGTACATAAAATAGTTTTTGGAAAACCTTATTGAAATAAACATTATTATCGACTGTATCGATAAGCCCTCTGTAAGGCCGAATCTATAGTTTTTAGAATTTTTGTCTGACTGTGTGTCTGTTACCGCATCACAGAAAAACCACTGGAGGGATTTTGATGAAATTTGGTATATATATATATATATATATATATATATATATATATATATATATATATATATATATAGTTGAATATAATATTATATATGTAACTTTGTATGTATGTTTATTTACATTTCGGTTAAGTACTGTACACTTTTATGCACCATTTCCACTCTTTTCTTTTATTTTCAGTATCCTTCTCTATCGGTTGCCTGTAAGAGGTAGCTATCAGTGATAAGGCCGCCTTTGCACATTTTTTTAATTGTATTTATTTTTTGTGTATGTACCATTTTGCTGTGCAATAAAGTGTTTAAATAAATAAATAACTAAAATAAATATTGTGAAGATAAGTCAAAAACATCGAAGGACAATAAAAATAAGACCAAGTTATTTAACATGTAAAAGCAAATTTACAATGGAACTAGAAATTTGTTACATTTTATCTATTGAGGTAAATGATTCTTATGCAGAGCACGTCTTATGTTACCTAACATGCAACTTATTTGCCGGTTGCTTGACTGGTTGTAGTGATTAGACGGCTACCGCTCTATACAAAAACTAGGAACTTATCATTTCTAGCAAAGATTTATGAGAACTTTTTATAAGAATGTGTGTCAAGAAACGCTTTAAAAACATTTCTTTAGTTTTATAACACAAGTTCATATAACTTCCTACAGTTATAATAATATTAGCTAATATTTACAATATTTATCTATTATATGTGTAATATATATCGTCATGGTGCAATGAAGTTTATGATTAGAACTGCTTACTGATTAGAAGTTAGCGTTTTCAATCTTTGTCTGTCTGTGGAAATCATTTTCCAGACATAATTTATTTTTATGAATAAAATCATCGAATAGAGCCAATCAATACATATTATCTTCAATCTTTTGCATCACTTTGTTGAAGATATAAAGAATATATTGTACTCACACCAATTTGTAATCGTCGTTTTGCAAGATCTAAAGGATACGTCAAGACTTTGGCTACAAAACCAGCAATGCTTCCAGCGGCAGTGGTGGCATAGAGGAGGTGCTCGGGTTTGTGAGCACTTGCCTTGGCATGAGTGCAGTGCCCATCACAGCTATAGAAATAGCTCAGGAACAATGGTTGAAGGAAACTGAACACAGAGAATGTTATCCCAACTTGTGGTCCTAGCTGTAATTCAGTCATTATTCAGTATTATTTCATGGAAATAATAACTTTAAAATTTCATGTTTTTTTATTACTATTTAAATAGGATTATTTCACTGTGTTATGCTGTCTGCGTTTTAGGAATATGGTTACAAACAGTTAAAATCGCTGTTCTGTTTTTCATTTTGTTACATTTTATGCACGAATGCACAATTTAAAAAAAAAACTTTGCAGCTTTTGGATCAATACTCATACAGGATTCTGAGTATGTATGAGTTATGTCATCTATTAAATTTACATAATAACATAAAATACGAAAAAATGTCACTGTAACTTTAAGCTTTACCTAGAGTAAATATTGAAAAAGAGTCACATAATTTAGATGTAGTATACACAATTTACCATCAGGACTCCAGCTGCCCATCCCTCATAAAATGCCAGTAGCCCACCAGACCTGTACACTGCTTTTGCGCCGTTAAAGAACCCTCTATACTGCTCTTTGATCAACATCTGTCGTACTCTTATCACTTCAAGAGGAGTGACTAAAGTGGCGCTACATGAACCAGCGCATATTCCACATATAAATTCTAGAAATGTCCTAGTAAAATATATTAAAAAAACTTATATAAAGTATATAACAACTATACATGTATGTTTTTATTCATAATGCACGATCAGTTCTCACGTCTCTAAGTAACTTTACAGCAGATTAAAATAGGGACAGTGGTGAAGGTACAGGTACATTTAGCCTCTTAACTGCCTCGGTGGTGTAGTGGCTAGCATGTACGGCTGCACACCTGGAGGTCCTGGGTTCGAGTCCCGGATCGGGCCTAGTTTAGTTATTGAGTTTTTCTGTATAGTAAGCCTCAGTAACAGACCGAAGTTGGGAAGTTGGTGGTGTTTCACCCCCATGCCTCGGAGAGCACGTAAAGCCGTCGGTCCTGCGCCTTAACTCTCACCGGTCGTGTCGAGTAGTCGTCCCACCGGAGTATAAGAGTGACAGGAATAAAGAGTGCACTTGTGTCTGCGTGTACGGTTGTGCACAATAATATCGCCTGCGCAGTTGCCTCGTCTCAATGAGGTTGGCCGCCGTGGACGGAATCGGTCAGGAGAACATTACCTCTGGCCAGAACCAATCAACCAACCTATAACTCCGTCTATAAATTCTGCCACTATAATACTATATTTTGTTATAATTTCTTGTTATTTATTGTTTTTAAATGGGCACATGCTTTTAATTTTAAATGGGCTTACTCACTTGTATTTGGGATTTACTGGAGAACTAAAAACAAACTTAGTAGTAACTTCATACACATAGAACTGACTGGTCGTAGAAAGAATTGAATGCATCTGTAAAGACAATTTACTCTGAATATATTATGTACATAATTATTACAATATAACAAATAAAAAAGCTTATATATAAATAAATATTTTGTATAAGGATTACTATTCATTCATTGTTAAACTCTAAGACTTACTAGCCTTTGTCCCACACTTGGTTGATTTAATTCTCATTATTAATCCAGTAAAATACTTAATTTCTACAGACTTAAGTTATATTAATACTAGCAGAAAATCGCTAAAAATCTGATATACGTATTGTTTTATTTATTAGTTTAAAGATAAGTTAGGTTATATAGGTAGGTTTCATACAAACTTTAGTCCCCTATTTTACCCCCTTATGGGACGAATTTTGAAAAATACTAAAGCACGTATTCATTTGATTGTATTCAAGAATATAAATACTAAGTTTCAAGTAATTCTGATCATAAATATTTTTTGGGTTGTATTATAACGTGTTTTCTCGCGGGAATGATGATATATATATCACGTCTACACCGATAGAATATTGGCGATAAACTTAAGCATGAAGAGAGACTTTTGTGATTTACTCGCCTACATACGCAATGGAAACCGAAACTCTTCGTCTCGGAAGCAAAAAGCAATGGCTAGTGAAATATATCTCCTCGTATACGAGGAGAGGCTAGTACTCTCGTAATCAGTATGTATCGGGGTACTTAAACGAGAGTGTACAGCCACAGTTATAATACATTATAATACTTACTCGATTTGGAACCACAAGAACTAAATTCATTCGTTTACCTGACCCAGACTGTGGCCATGCCAGAAAGCGGTTAAACCTTCTTCATAAAATATTTTCTTGGTTGTTTCATATACGTTACGACGTCTTTCCTCTGTCATCTTTTTCTGCAGCTGTGTTCGTACTTTCAATACATCTAAAGGCTGAGTTACAAACCGTGTGACAACACCAGATATACAACCAGCAATTAATTTTTGGTTTGGTGTTAATGATTCGTCCTTTCGGTAGCCAACCATTTTTCAAGACATAATGGGTAAGAAGTGTGATTAGTTTCATGTATCTCAACTTCAATATACAGCATTTTTTTCTTTTCTTCTATTGTCATACATTGACGGACAATTAAATGGCATAACAAAGAGTAATCTTTACATGAATATGTTGCATACAGATTAAAATATTATTAAATTATTTTATAGTTATCTGTTTTAATGTTACAAATATTTTTATTTTTATTTTTGTGCACCATTTTGTTTAAACTTATTTAAAAATTATGTTTATGTGCCTTATGATATACAAATAGCAATATAGTATATCTTGTATTTTGTTATTAAATATTTTATGAATGAAGAAATGATGAATATATTAAAACTTGTTCTTCGCGATAAAAATATATCCAGAAAAATAAATAATAAAACATGGGACTTTCCACATTTCTAATGAAGCTTAAACATCAATTTTCATATTTTTACATCAAAAGTTCTATGGGAAATTTAATCCAATACGATGAATCTTTAAGAACTCTTTGTGCTTTCTTCCAAGCTTTATTTATTTACTAGCATTTTAAGTTTGTGCTTTGTCTGTGTAGTAAATGAATGAATTTAAAAAATTTCTTACATAAATATACCATACCAGAAATGTTATAGGGTCGTTAAGCCAATAGTACAAGTACACTTTTTAAGAAACAGTCCTATTATAAAGTATAATCACAATAAGTTTGACTCCAGCGGCATTTTTATGATAGATGTATATAGAGAAAAAAAAAACATACAGAGGAACATAGAACCACATCTTTTTCAAAGGTGGTTAATAAGAAAACCTCTTAAATGGCGCTCTTTGAATTAAAATCATATCATTTATCATTATTTTCGTTTTTAGGAATTCTTTAGGATTTACGTGTTATTCCTTTGATGTGAACTACGAGTAAAATAAAAATAGATAAAAAGAAATGGTAAAATTATAATACAGATTCCTTGTTTTTCCGAAAATAGTAAAAGGAGGAGAGTAGTATTTTTCCATTGTATGTATTTCTATATATTTTCGGCACACTTCTTAGGTTATATTTTGCCCAAGTTTTAAAGAAGCGGAAGGACGATACCAGCATTATAAAGATTCTTATATTATAGATAGTTACTTTATAATACACTAGCAGCTCACCCTCGCTTCGCTCGGGCTTACGTTTTAGATAGATATAAATAGTGATTATCCAGCGTTAGCCATATATATTTTTTTTGTTAATAATATTGACAAATATTGACATTAATATTTATATGATTCTAACGTCACTTAATTGCCATCAATGTTTTGCCTTCCCGGAACCTCTCCACTAACACCTAAACTTTATGTTATTTGACTTTTAAGTATTGTTACGAATCTTTTGTACTCTCAGTATAGAAAAGTGTTGTTTTTAGACTTTTTCAGGCAATTCTTTAAATTTTTCTCTCCGTAAAAACTATCCTCGTACTTCAAGGAATATTCTAAAAAAAGAATTAGCGAAATCGGTTCAGCTGCTCTCGAGATTTGCGTTTACCAACACATTCAGGTGTATCATTTTATATTATAGTATAGAGCTTACACATCATTCACGAACTAGATAAAGACTTAAAGTAGGTATTATATTATTTTTAAAATACAAGTTCGTAAAACATTATATTATAAAAATGGTGAGGATAAAATAATAAAAGCCTCATTTATTACGTATCGTACTAAAATTAATACACATAATAAAATTGTAACTAAGCGGAATCTGTACATTAAATATTTTTTCTGGAAAATCTTATTGAAATAGACATTGTTTTCGATACAGAGGCCGAATCTATATTTTAAATTTTTTGTCTGTCTGTCTGTTTGTTTGAATGTGACCGCATCTTGGAAAAATGACTAGAGGGATTTTGATGTTTTTTTTTATGATGATAGCTGGTTATCCGGGTCAACACATAGGATACTTTTTACTACGGGAAAATATCCCATCTCTGAGAAATCTATACTAAACGATAAAACGTAAGTAGGGACGAACCGGAGCGGAGCGTATGAATATAATAATTCCAGGATGCAACACTATTACACTGATAAAGGCGAAATGATAAGATATCTAGAACAATGAAAGCACACATCAAATTGAAAATATTTTGATATAATATGACCACCACCACTTTTGTTTATTGATTGTTTTGGAAAGTTTTTCGTAATCAGATATTAGAAACAAGTTAGTTAAGTATAAAGTAATAAATATGTGTTAGAGACGTATAATATTAAATTGAATCAACCAATATGCATCTATATGTAAACGTAGATAACCGATGACCGTGACGAAGCTCCCTACATTGATTGGGTGACCACTGTGAACCTAAATCGCTTGTTGCTTATAAGACTCCTCACTGAACGGGCATATCGTTAACATTCATTCAATATTTTATTTGTTTTAATTAATTTAGTTGTTGTTTACGTTGCATTAGTTTTTTGAGATAATCGGTGAGTTTATTGTTTATAAGGTCGTTGGGTAGTTATTTTGTTTTCTTTTAATACATATTTTTTATTTTGCTTGAATATTATTTAAGCAAAAAACTAATTTTACTGTTTATTTATTAATATTAATTAGAAAACATATCTATTTGTATTTATTGGTGGATAATTTCAAAGTAGTATCTATACTTTTAGTACAATCGTAGTTTTTAAATCTGAACGTAATATAATTATTGTTAAATTATTTTTGACTTTTGATATAGTTATGTAGACACTAAAACCCTTTTTTTTTAATATTAAATTAGTTTTTTCATCAAATTCAATCTAACACTGACTCGAACGATTTTGTTGAATAATCCTTCGTTTTAAGCCATTTGATGAGGCTTCAAAATTGATGGGCATGGATTTAATTTTGGTTACAATAATAGAAAAAAAAGTTTTAAATTAATAAAATCACCTGACATCGCCTAATCTAGAAATATATTTCACTTCTATTAAAGAATTTAGTAAAAAAATTAATATTTTCAAAATATATCGACTACATACGAAATTGAAGAAGTTTTTTTTATTTTATTTATTTTAGTAAAATGGCAGATCAGTTCAAAGTGCGGCCAGTATTGGATCAAGATACAAAAACTGGAGAAGAAAATCTTAATAAGGCAAGTACATATACAATTATTTTTAAGCTTTTGCGATTTCCGCGAAATTGGAAAATTGCTGCATTTAAGTACATATATTATATACATTTTATTGACTTAGTGTATACATAAAATTGTATACTTTTTAACAAATAAGCCTACTCAATCTTATCGTAGAATAATAAGACATAATAAAAAGCTAGCGCCGAGACACTGCTTGCGTTGATAATAGTTATTATCCATTGTTTTAATGTGTAATTCTAATTAACACATCGCTGAAGTGACGTGACGTGCATACCACTTTGTAATCAATATGGTCTCTATATTCATTGCCCTCTGGTCAGCACTTAAATAATTTATCAAATAGAACTATAATGTTTCCATTGTCTAAATATTTGTTCGAAGTAATCAACCGAATTTTGCTAATGGCATTATTAAAACAAAGTGAAGAAACCTTATTGCAGCCTTCGACTTTGTTTAATTATGAAAACCATTAAAGAGTTATTTGTAGTCCCATAAAATAAGCTTTTAATTAATAGACTTTTAATCTTGACTATTTCTTTATTTATATTTACAAATAACAACTAAAAAGTTGTTTATATTTATATAACTACTAGCGACTCACCCTTGCTTCGCTCGGGTTCGTCCCTAGCTTAATTGCCCATACAAACTTTCATCCCCATTTTCACTCCCTTAAGGCATGATTTCCGGTATGAAAAGTATCCTATGTCCTTCCCAAACTATCTTCTTACCAAATTTCATCTAAATCGATTGAGTAAATCCAGAGATTATTCCCGTCACACGTTACAACGTCACAAACTCACAAACTTTACCTCTTTATAATATTAGTATAGACGAGTAAAATATTTTTTCGTTGTGATTAGGCATATCGTTTTCTTTTTTTTTTCAAAGTGAAATAGTTATTATAAATATTTGCTATATTTTATCAAACTCGGAGGCTTTATTTTTTATTCTTAGGCACTTTAATGATTTATTTTAAAATACAGATATTTTTAGTTTAACTTGTTTTATTTATAATTAAGCCTTTTTGCCTGCGGCTCCGCCCTACAGTGATTTTATGTATAATTAATTACTTTGCTCCCAAAGGTGGTAGTGCGATGTTAGATAGCCTTTGTCAATAAAAGAGCTATACAAAGAGATTTTTCCCAATCAACCAAACAAATGCGAACTCTTCGGCTTCGGCTATATTAAAAAATATATTATCTTAAGGTTAATCTTGTATACATAAATGCGAATTTTGTTTTAAATATTGTTTAATATTAGGCATGGAACTGAATTTAACCCGAGAGAAAATATCGATTTTCTATAATATTCTCTTCCTTTTTATTCTTAATAAAATAAAATTAAATACCATAATATAAAATTTATATGACGGTGTGGTAGGTAAAATAAATGTGCTTAATAATAATATTTACAATGAATTGGTTTTCTATATTGGAACTATCATCTATAATATCATCTAAACGAGTCTTTCTTAAATTAACTTTTTTATTCTTTTTCTCGCTAGGTACGGCCTTTTTTATTTTAAACATTATTATATTTTGGTTTTGATTAGCTTTACGCTTAGGGCTTTCCTTTTTTTTTCAATATTTTTTGCTTAGCGTCTTTTTCTACAGTAAGATATCTGTGTTCTCTGCTCATCATCATTAGAACTTCTCCAGGGTTTTTAAGGGTATGATTCACGTTTTACTTTGTCGAAGCGCTTCTTTGCAAGAAAGATTTTGAGTCTTTAGGTTAGGTATATTGTTTGCATTTCTTTATCTAATAATTCTATTATAATCATCTACCAAATCTATAAGCTAGATTAGCATTGGATTATGAAGATGGCTTTAAAATAGTATACGATACTTCTGTCTTAAGTAGCCCATTATAGCATAGTGTGATTGTTAAGCGCCGTGCATTATTAATACTAGTTCTATACTTTACTTATTTATTTCAGGCTCCTTGTTGTCACCCGCAAAAATTGGCGATAAATAGTACTTGTCTACTTCCACCAATTGCTTCAGAGAGTGGCCTCAGTAAGTTTTAATAAGAAAACTAGATTTTGTCTTTGGCTCAGCCCGCTTAGTTTATTTAATTACTTCGCTGTTAGGGATCGTCCATTAATCACGTGAGACTCGAAGGGGGGAGGGGGAGGGGGTTTCGAAAAATAACAAGGGAGGAGGAGGAGTCCAACAATCCGTGACTCCGTTTCAACGTGAAAGAAGGACAAACAAACAAACACACTTTTACATTTATAATATTAGTATGGATTTAGTAGCAGCTCTGTACCAGTTTTTATTTATTTAGATACATCAGGAGATGCAGCTAACTCATCTAAATCTCCTATACAAGAACCAAAGCAACGAAGTTATCATAAAGGATGTATATCAAAAGATTATAGGAGCTGTTTAAAACTTGGAATTGAGAGAAAGCCTCTGAAGACAGGTAAATGGAAATGTAGATTATTCTTAAAAAAGAATCCTAACATATAAATAAATTTTGTTATGAGCTTATTAATATTAGTGAATTTGTGTATTTATATTTTTTTATATTTTATATATTTTTCAGCAAAACGGGCTCCCAAGGACATTGAAGATTTAAGCGATTATCTTGACCGTAATCCAGATTTTTTAGAAGCCTATATCATCGATAGTGTTACTATAAATCAGCTTGAACGATGGTTAATTAAGAAAATGACTCACGACCCTGTAAGTAGTATAACATATTTTATAATATTAAATAAAAAAATCATACTAATATTATAAATATGAAAGTGTGTTTGTTTGGTTGTTTGTTTGTTTGTTTGTTTGTTTGTTTGTTTGTTTGTTTGTGTTTGTTTGTTTGCTAGTCCTTCTTTGACGTCGAAACAGAGTGACGGATTAGCGTGATTTATTGTGTGCAGATAGATGGAGGGCTGGAGAGTGACATGGGCTACTTTTTACCGCGGGAGATTATCTCATTTCCACGGGAAAGCACGTTGTAATAAAACCTACAAAAATATTTTTGATCAGAATTACTTGAAATTTGGTATTAATACTCTTCAATACAATTAAATAAATACATGTTTTAGCATTTTTCGAAGTTCATCCCTTAAGGGGGATATATAATAGGTAATGAAAGTTTTTAAGATACATACTAGTACCTTTTTAGTATATTTGTGTAGTTTTAAAGCGAGCGAAGCCGCGGGTTTTGCTAGCAAGTATATAAATATGGAAGTATGGATATAAAGACGTACCTACCTAGAGAGTAGAGACGCACCCAAGCGAAGGGAGGGCAACTCGCCAGTATATAATAAAATATTAATATACTCATACTCTTATACTCATTTTCATATACTCTCTCAATACTCATATATTATCATACATTAGTAGCTATAAAACTATTATAAAATTGCAGGAAAGAGGGCCATATTTAGGCAAACATCAATCGGTCGCGCATAGCTTTCATGATCCAAGAATAAAGAAGAAAATATTTATGGTAAGTTTTTAGTCAACAAATGAAAATGACAATAACTTTGGACTTTATTTTTTTAATTTTATGAAAAGAAATATATTCAAGGATAAGTAACGTTTATCAATTTTAGGACCTTATAAGCAAATTAAAAGATGAAACTAATGAATACTCAATTTCACTGGAACTTGCGCGTGTAATAAGTGTGTCTATAGGCGTAGACGCATACAGAGTGTACAAATTATTTCCAGATCATCCTAACTTTGTGCAATACTTTGTAATGGATTCATGCTCTGTAAGTTTATTTTTATTATTTTATTATACTATTACTGTATTTTAATCTACGTATTTTTTCAAATGTTTTCAAGAATCGTCACTTTCCCTGTTAAATAAAAATAGCAAATGAGTAACAAAGCCCATAGTTAAAGGCTCTATCAAAACGTTATCGTGTAATATATTCTAGAGCAGTTAAGTAAAGTCAAATTATCAAGTGCATTTAGATATAAAAAAAATTTCAAAAAGAAACACATTTAGTAAGATAGGATTTTCTTTTAAAATCTTCACTTCACACGTTATTTTGGACATTTTTGGAGAACATCTCTACACTGAATTTGTGCTCCAGCCATTTGAGTTTTTGGTTGAATATTTAACTAATTTTTTTCCCAACAAATCATATTATACTGTTATTTTTAGGATCTTTTTACTCCTCGGTTGGCTAGAGCAGAGCCTGATAAAATTGGATATGTACTAGATGTAGCTAAAAATGGCTCATGTTTACGACTATCAAAGCATAGTAGCTCAGCATTTCCGAAAATACCTAGTGCTTTACTCCGAGCATTCGGCATAAAGAACACGGTAAAACGGTTAAATTTAAAATAGACTATAATATCAATATACTTATTTGCTTATAATTTAATTTCTTTTATTTCAATTGCACATTTACTTTTAGAAAGAAGCTAATCATTTGATGTATCTACCTATTTTGACTGCCAATGGGAAGGCAGCATATGTTATGGAAATGTGGCGTCTCCATGAGATGTTTGGAGACAAAGATGAGGAAATCAGTTCAAATTTTGTTGTCTGGGGAAGTTTGATTCTACATTACTTTAATTTATATTTAGACAAAAAGAGAGAACGTAATATGTCAGATTTCTTACTGGATGTAGTTAAGTTAGTGATTTATAATACTGTATAAAATTATTAAAAAGTATTATTATAATATTGTTTTCCATACCTTGAAATATATTTTCGTATTTCTATAGGGCAATATTTGAAGAAATGGTATCACTCGATCAGCTTATCAAAAGGATATTGGAATTTGCTCAACGACTGGTAAATGCGGACAGAGCTTCGCTGTTTCTAGTTGATTATAGAAATTTCGAACTTGTTTCTACTGTATTTGACTTGAAGTTTGAGCCTGGACAGGGAAGAGATATGGAAAAAAAGGAAATAAGAATGCCTATAAATCGTGGTATTGCTGGTCATGTTGCATTATCTGGGGAAACCATGAATATTCCAGATGCATATTCTGATTACAGATTTAACAGGTATTTTTTTCCCAATAATTAATTGGTCTTATATATATTGATCATTATATTTTATTTACTTGATCAACAAATTTAATATTTACTTGATCATCATGTTGAATTCTGAAAGTATTTAAAATATGTTAAATATACGATAGTATAACTTTGCAAGTTTTTATTTTAGAGAGGTTGATGAGGCTACCGGATATAAAACTATAAGCATTTTATGTATGCCTGTAAAAGTTCAAGGAAAAGTAATTGGGGTCGTGCAGATGGTGAATAAACGAAATAACGATAATTTTGATCATGAAGACGAAGTATCATTTGAAATATTTTCGACTTTCTTCGGGCTCGCTCTTCACCATGCTAGACTTTATGATAAAATTATGAGAAAAGAGCAAAAATATAGAGTTGCTTTAGAAGTCTTGAGCTATCACAATACCTGCAGGGAACATGAAGTTCAAGAAATACTAAGAGATAATAATCAAATTAAAGTTAATATTAATGACTTTTATTTAGATCCATACCAATTAGACGATTTTCAGAAATGTAAAGCTGTTATAACAATGTTTGATGATCTTTTCGAGCTTTCCAAGTTTGACTACGTAACTGTAACTAGGTTTATATTGACAGTAAAGAAAAATTACAGGACAGTGCCGTATCATAATTTTGACCATGGATGGTCTGTTGCTCATGCAATGTATGTGATTTTAAAAAGCGATAGCCGAAGACGTTTTGATTATAAAATGGTGTGTTTAATGTAAATACTACAGTTTAAAGTATAGTGTAGTACTATGGAAATATATTAATTTTAATAAATTGTAATTTTAGCGATTAGCATTGTTTGTTGCCTGTCTTTGCCACGACTTAGACCATAGAGGCTACACAAACAAATACATGAACGAAACAGCTTCACCATTAGCGGCTATGTATACAACCTCACCATTAGAGCATCATCATTTTAATATTACTGTTACTATTTTGCAACAGGTAAAATTAATGATGTACTTAAGCGCTGCTTTCTTTTTATACTTTAAAACATTTCCCTTTATTTTTACATTATTGTCTTTAAATTGCCAGGATGGACATAATATATTCTCTCATTTGTCTGGCGACGAATTTAAAGATATTCTGCGGTACATCAGACATTGCATATTAGCAACAGACTTGGCTGCATTTTTTCCTAATTTAGCGAAATTGAAAGATATTCATGAAGGAAATTCTCACCTCACAAAGTTCAATTGGGCAATCCCTGGACACAGGTAAATAACAAATTCTTCTAAAGTATGACAAATGAAATAACACTTTTATTTAATTATTACAACAACAATAGGTCAAGTTGTATCATCATCATCATTTCTATTGTATGCTCATTGAATTTTTATATGTTACACCAAATTTAATTTTTCAACATTTCAGAGATCTAGCTATGGCTATTTCAATGACAGCTGCTGATTTATCAGCATCAGCTAAACCTTGGGAAATACAAATTAAAACTGTGAAAGTTATTTTTGAAGAATTTTATGATCAAGGAGATAAGGAAAGAGCTGCAGGTAAGACACCTATACCAATGATGGACAGACATAAACCAGAAGAGCAACCAGCTAGTCAAGTAAGTCAATTTTAGGATAAATTAAAGTATGCTACACTGATATGAGTAAAATATTAACTTGTTATGTTATTTTAGGTGGGATTTTTAAGTCAGATCTGTATACCTTGCTACAGTATGCTTTATAAAATTCTTCCGAAAACAAAACCTATGTATGTTATGTCTTTGAAGAATCTTAATAATTGGAAATCAAAAGCTTGTCCTACGATTACTGAAAGCGATGCATCTTCGAATGAAAACACATCTGATATTGCATCTGAATTGGAATCGGAAGAAGATAATTTACAAGTATTAGTAGAATATTCTGACTCGTCGGATAAAGCAAATTTTGAAAATCCTGTCACTGACATTGAAAATATTCTAGAAGAGGTACACGATAAAGAAGACGAGAAACATATTGAAGAAATAAGTGGTGAAATCGCTGCTAAATGGAAGTGTATTAAATCTGATTCAGTTTCTTGGGAAGAAGATAATATTTTAACAGATAAAGAAATTTCAAAAGATAGCATTTGGAAAGATACAGATGGAAATTTCGTTGATGAAGAAGGCGTTGTTACTAGACCAAAAAAGTCTGTGAAGATAATTATGGTGAATTCGGTTGAGGAGTAGGGAACTGTAAAGTTACTTTTAAATTTTTGCACCTATCATTTCGAGAAAGCGTAATTATATAGGCAATATTTAAATTGTAGGTAAATTAAGTTTACATTAAATCAAATGTAATTCTTATTGCTTAATAAACATTATTAAATATAATTATTAAATAAAATAATTTTGTTAAATTCCGTTAAAGTTTAAGGAAAATGAAAAGCCAGTTAAAATAAATATATTTCAGATAATCTATCTGTACATATAAAATGCTTTGTCTTGAATGACTGACAGATTAAAGCATAGCCTAAACCACTGGTCGTAGAAACGTGAAATTTCGAGGACATATACCTTATTTAATGTAGGTATCCGATACGAAAGAATTTTTCAAAATTCATCCCCTAAGTGGGTAAAATAGAGGATAAAAGATTGTATTAAACTCTGTCATTCTTAATGTGAAATTGTGTATTAGAATTACTTGAATCTTAGTATTAATGCTCTTCAATACAATTAAATTTTAGATTTTTTTTTAAATTCTGCCCTTAAAAGGGTCAAACTGGGTGATGAAGTTGGATTGGTTGAATATATTTAAACAGAGTAACATGGCTCAAGTTCTCCGTAAGTGCACAGTAAAAAACGGAAATTATTCCGAATCCAAAGGAAAATTATTCATAACTTCTCGGCTGGCCACAGCAGTGACAACTATAACTGACCTAGAGAGTGTGAGAGAGAGAACCTAGCTAGAGAGTATCCTGCTATTATATCCTGCTTCTGAAGGTTGGGAAACCTGTAATGGAAAAGTAACATAAGCTAAGTAATTGTGAGTAATTCATTTAACATTCATAACATAATAACCACTGTGTTTGCTGCGAGTGCTCCAGGGGAATCCGTATTAATTCCTCGAATATATTCATATATTCGGTTTGAATTTAATCTATTGTAATTGCTCCTTAAAATTTGCTTTGCAATGACCATTAATATATCTCACGAGGATTGCTTTTCACAGGGACATTTTAGCAGAACCCAGAAGTAGACAGAATAACCACCAATATGGTATATATTTTGTGGTTAGTGTTTTTAGCGTAGAGTAAGTTAAGTGAATCTAGAGTGATTATATAAATGAACACATAATATTAAAAATTCGATATAACAACATACAAATTCAATAGAAATTATAACTAAGCAACTTTGTAGTCTGCGCGAGCGTAGCCGCGGGCAAGAAGCTATAGCAAAGAACAGCACTTTATATAAGTAATAACTTAAAAAAGAAGGAGAAGGAGCGAGACTGTAAGCTTCAGGTGTACATACGAGTAGCATTGGGTCTTTAAAAATAACGTAGATGTTAACCTGTTAGTATGTTAGTTAAAAAGCCCATAGTAGCCGAGTTACATGATTCTAAATTCGTAAACATTGTATGCGAGTTGTATCATTGTACTTTTCCTTTAGCTTTAGAAAAATTAAGTAGAACAATGTGCAAAAAATAGAGGTAGTGAAGCTTGCTAAATATTATCTAAAATGAAAATGTATTTACAGAATATATGAGCACGTTTAACATCTTTTAAGATACTGGACATTTTGAGTTACTATCGCTAAAATTGAATTTGTTTTCCATTATACAGAAATAATATGAAACACGAAGTTATTTTTGCAAAAAATAAAGTATGTATTGCGAAGAAGTTTATTTTTTTCGTAGTTTGATCGCCGGCGAAGACGCGGGGTCTGCTAGTATTAAATAAAAATAATAATAATAATTAATCAGATGATTTATATAAATAATAATTATGTAACAAAGTACTAGAACTTTTATTATATATTTTATTACCGGTACAAGTGTAATTATTTCAAAATTTCTAATTACTTCATCTATATTGACCCGGTTTATATTTTTGGGATGGAGTGAAACTTACCAAAGAAAAAGCTAAGGCAGCAGTCTAGCAAATTGCTTTAAAAATATACCTGAGAAGTATTTAATAAGAGGTTATTATTTTTAAATATAGGTATCAAAGTGTACTTTAAACTTTACTTGTAACTTTTTTTTCTTTGCATGTATAGTTTTTCATTACAACTATATTTTTACAAAATTATTTATTTTACAAAATTAGAAATAGGCTAAAATATGGATAAGAGCCTCAAATTTTCCTAATCAACTTTAAAATATTTAACATTCAGTCTTTCTTTATTGACTTTAATATACTAATTATAGTACGTTTTTATAGAAACAAGTTAATAATTTGAATATTTTAATCATTATACTCGTAGAAGATGACCATTATGACAACTTATTAGGATTTGTGTAAAAAACGTATACATTAATGTTATTTTATTTTAAATATTATATTTTATAAAAGTTAATTAAATAAAGATAATTTTAGTGTCTTGTAATTTTATTTCTTAAGTATAATATGTAATTATAAGACGGTAGTATTTAATTAAAATCTTTTGAATGGTTGGTATGTCTTGATTTCTCTTTGACTTGCTTCATTAAAATAATTATAAACTTGAAATTGAAATTAATTAGAATCTATGTAATTAATCAGCCATAGAGGTAAAGTAATATGTTGAAATTGTGAATTCGATATTTGCAAAGAGCGAAGGTGTATAATCTATTCTATAATAAAACAGTAGAGGTCGAATGTCTGTACATATCAAAAAAATGCTAAAAACCGAGTCAGGGGGATGTAAGAAGACAAATAGAACAAATCCAGATTTTTTTCAAATTTTTTGTTTCTCTGTCTGTTCGTCTGTTTGTATGTTTGTACGGGCTAATCTCCGAAACTTTTGGATCGATTTAAATGAAATTTCGCATGGTGATACCTTATATCCCCGGTCAACAGCTTAGATACGTTTTATCCCAGAAAATTAAAGAGTTCCCGTGGGATAGTTAAAAAACTGTAGTATCTTATACAGCTTAGTACACAATAACTTTAGTAAAATTTGGCATGCTGATACCTTATATTGCCGGTCAAACAACAGGTTACTTTTTATATCAGAAAAATGAACGGTTCCCGTAATATAGATCTGTTTGTGCTTTTGTAGGGTCAAGCGAGGGTTAGCCGCTAGTAAATAATAATTCTATAATTAGTTCATCTCATTTCCAATGCCAATGTATTTAGTGACTAATTTTGTAGAAATATAGCAAAGTTAGTCTTTTCTTAAATTTTTGTTACCTTTTTTAAAGGGATTATAAGTCGATTGAAGAGGGCTATTTGATATTAAACGACTTAAAAAAAAGGGTACTGATACGAGCTACAGATATGGTGGCAAAGGGAAAACATCTCAAAACCTTGGTCAAATTGTAGTGTGTAAGTAAGAAAATCAAAAGGGCCGAGATCAAACTGGCTCCACGATACAAATCCGCTTCGAGAACTAAAAATTAAAATGTCTAAATTTTTGTACCTATATATAAAAAAAATCGTTTACTACTTATTACAAAAACTATTTTAGTTGTATTTAAAACTAAAAATTTCGAAATTATGAAGTGCTTATACAAAAATTAAGCTGATCTCAAAAAAAATAACTACTAGGAACAAAAAGATAAAAAATATTATTTACAAAAACTAAATACTCGACTGCCTCAAACGTGAACTAAAAAGAGGAGAACATTTGCACACACGCAGTCGGAGACATAATAAATACAATTTAGGTACTAGCTACGAGTTTGACTACGTGTATTTATTTATATTTATTCATATATCCGACTGTATATATGAAATACTTTTAGTTTACATTTTACGCAGTCGCGTTTTTTTTTGTTTTGGATTTTTTTTTGTTTATTAATTATTAGCTATTGACGAGCTCTAGTGTTATTAATAAAAAAAATTGGGAACAGTTCGTTTTTTTTATATAGTGATTATGGTCCAATTTCGACTTCTAGAATACTTCATATTATTATTAACGTAAAATTTTACATATTACATACAAATTATTATAAAGGCTTATTGTTATTTGTAAATATTTTACGACCTATGTATATATTATAAACAATGAAATTGTATATAATTACTAAATTATGAAAGAAAATAGCTGGAAGATTATTCAAAACTCATTTTAAATTCGTATGAGTAAAAGTGTACGTTGTTGTTTATTTTAATATTTAAACTAATCGAATATATTGTATAAAATATATACATTTCTGACCTGGTTAACTACAGATATCCCATAACAGTCCACTCAACCTCACTTATTCTTATGATAGCATTGTCTATAGAATCATGGCAGCGGTGTACGTTACGTAAATCCGGTCTTTGTGAGATTGTTAGTTACGTGACCATGATCAAGAAAATAATGCCATAGATGTGGTATTTAAAGCATCAGCTTTTTCATTGTACCCTACTAAAAGAGATTTGTCACAAGTATATACTAGTATGAATTTATATTATACGTATTAAGATTATGTACATACTAGCAATTTACATTCACTTCGCTCGTTCTTAAGTGTTTATAATTTTATCCAAATCCGTCCAGCCGCTCAGCGTGAATGAGCCATCAAAATTTACAGTTTACATAAAAACGATTTCGTTTCGCTTTGTAGCCCAATTATAATAAAATTATAAAAAGAATGCAAGTTCCTAATAAAGATTATAGCAAAATGTTGGTTTTATAAAGAATTTATTTAAAAATCTTTTCACAAAAGTGATATTATTATTAAAAAAGTTATTTCTGTATCTAAAATATATGTACGTCCCATAATTATTCGATAAAACAATATTAATAATCTTAAGTCTCGCAAAATTAGGGTATTAAATGCCTGCTCCTTTTCATATTACTTGTAAAATCTAACTGATTAATTATGCATTCAGCTATTTCGTGCTAAGTACTACATATTTGCAAACATTGTTTTCCAGTGTTTGAGTATTTAATATCTAAACACAACAAAACAAAGGGCAGAAATGAATTGAAGAATTCATTTACCTGAGAATGTCTAAACGTCGAACCATCTTGTATCAAGTTTATATCAATAGTGAAAGCTTTTTAGCTATTTTTAAAAGCAAGTTTGTCTACATGTTGTTTATTCTTAAATC